AGCCAGGTGATGTTCACCAGGGTGCAGGACCAATTGCAAAAACGCATGCCATGTCTGAGTGCAGGATGTTGCAGGGGTGTATAGTGCTGTCTGGGGGCCAGGGGGTATCCGGAGCCAGCGGTCCGGGTTGTGTGTGGCTTGCCGCAACCGGTGTCAATGATGCCAAGCACACGTTGCAATGCGCAAGCAGGTTGTGGTGGAACGGCAGATGATGTGGGGGGCAGAGGTGGGGAAGCGCAAATGATCCCCTTACTTGTCCGGACTTGCTGTTGGAATACAAATGAAATTTCAAAATGGGCCTACATGTATAGGCAATTTCTACTATCATTACTGGAGGTTTGTTTCTTCATTTTGTTGAGGATGTTCAATTTTTTTGGCATGCCTTGTTCAATTTTTTGTTTTCTCTTTTAATCTCTTTTAGGGTGGCCCTGGCGTGGAGGGTGTTCGTATTTAGGCCTGTTCCGATCATTTTTCAATCATTTTAAATCTTAATCACTTTCAATCATTTTTTCGATCATCTTGCAATCGTTTCACAATTTTCTATCATTTTGTTTTCAGTTTTTCAACATTTTTCATCAGTTTTCATTTTTTCATCATGTTTGATCATTTATCTATCACTTTCATTATTTTTATCATTATCCATCATTCTCATATTTTACCTGACATCTGCCTCGTTTCTGTTGGCTGCTTGGGTTTTGGGCTCCTTGGATTTTTGGCTTTTTGGCTTTCTGGCTTCTTCCATTTTTGGCTCAGCGGTTTCATTCGTTCTGTACATTGGCATCGCTTTAAACTTTCCATGATCTGGGGACTACCCCGCCCCCCTCCCGCGGCTTTTGTAAGGCCATTCCAAGCTGGAGTTATGTAGATCGTTTTACTTGCAAGGGGGGGGGCTGCGGCTCCGCCTAACCCCCCCCGCCTTTTGTGTAATGCCATCCATGCTGCATGTTCTCATCATCTTTCGGTATGTAAAGTTTCCATCAGTTTTCAACATCAGTTTCTTACTTGTTTAGCGTTTTCATCGTTTTCCATCATTTTCATCCTCATCGTTTTTCATAATCTTCACCTTATGATTTTTAATTGGCTAGTGTCATGATTTTTCTTTGTGATTCTTCATCATGTTGTATGATTTTCATTGTTTTTCATTGCGCTTCATCATTTGTCATCATGTCTCATCTTTTTTTTATCGGTTTGCCGTCATTTTTTATCATATGTCACATCTTCACAATTTTTCATTATTTTCTAGAATTGCTTCATCATTTTCTATCATTGTCCCATCATTTTCAGGATTTTTCATTATTCTTCATATGTTTTTTCATCATTTTCTATTTCTTATCATTTTTCATAGTTTTCATTTCATCATTTTTCTATCTATCATTTTCAGCATTTTCCATCATTTTTCACATTTTCTATCATTTTCCAAATTTTTCCATCATTTTCTAACATTTTTATGACTTTTCATAGTTTTCATGTCATCATTTTTTGTATCTATCATTTACATTATTATCATATTTTTCTATCATTTTCCTATTTGTTAATCATCTTTGTATTTTCATGGTTTTTTTTGGTAATTTTCTTTCATGTTTCCATCATTTTCATCATTTTCATCGATATTCATGATTTTTCATGATTTCTGATGATAGTTCATCAGTTTTCATTGCTTTTGCTTCAGAATCACGCTCTTGTCCCAGGCGTCCTTCGATTCCAGGCCCCAGCCACCCCCCAAAAAAAAACTATCAAAAACGAAAAAAAAAAACACACGTTTGTAGATGTGCGGGTGATAGCTCTGATTTGTACACTTGCAGTTGAAGCTTATCATGTCGAGTGTCGAACGAAATAATAAATTCATGTCCGTGGTCCTCTCGTGTTGCCCCTTACAAGATACATGCCGCAGGGAAACCATTCAAGTAATTGATCGTGCAATTGCTGGAATGCAGTTCGTTGCAGCCAGCCCTTGTTAAATCAAGCGCTTCCCGAGTTATGGAAAAAGAGTGGTCGTAGAGTGTACAAAGGGTCTTGGTCGCCCAGCGGGTGCTGCAGGTGTTTTTCTAGGCAGAGGTCTATTAATGGCAGCTGGGACAGTTGCCCGAAGATGGATGTACCGACAGTTCGCCAAATGGAGGTTCCAAAGTTCGGATTCCTTGTTTGGGGCATTAGAAGAAGCATGCATGGCTGAACCGTGATGTTGACCGACCGCCCTGAAGGTGGCTAACTAGCGCAGTGACAGATCTCAGAGCCCACGCCCCCTGCCGTGCAACTCAAACAAAGCCAACGCGAGGATCCTTCAGTATAGAATTCCGTTTAGTGCTTAAGCAGCTTCCAAACCTCCCCCGCGGTTGCAGGTGCAGGCTAGCTGTGATGCAGGAGGTCAAGCACCGACACACCTTCACACAAACCCAGACCTGTTCTGTCATAACCATTGCTGAAACGACATGGCATTAACTGGGGTTGGTTTGCGTGAGGAAGATGCCAGACTCGACGTGCATCATCTGCACCGCGCATGTCTTCTACGGCTCAGGTGCACTTGTCCCGCACTGGGTTTTTTCACTGATAGCTTGTGCAGGCTTCCTCCAGCCGACGGCCAACTGCAGGTGACCTTCCGCATGTTTCGAGCCCATGAATCTGTTTGTTTCCCAGGTTCTGGGCGGATTGGCGCCAGGCCTTCTCAGCTGCGCCACCTGGCCGTTGCGGCGGAAGCACTGCCAACTTCAATGCCAATGGCCCCTAGCCATCCCAAGCCGTTTCGAAATCATTCGCATATAGTATGCGTTTATAAGACAGAGCAGGCAACAAAGCACATGGCGAGGATCCACCCCGGCCAGAGTGTGCGTCGACATCGTTTTTCTCACCCGCTGCTCTGTGCAATGGCCTGCGACGTTGAGAGGTCAATGTATGCAAGAGGGTTGTTCAAAGCGACTAGGCTTCATCAGAGCCGACGTCACCAGCGGCCAATCACACAACATATTCTGATGTTCTCACACAGGACGCTGCACATAGCAACGCGCAACGTGCGTACACTTTAGATCATGCAAGCAGTTGCCCCCGGCCTGAAGCACAGTTTTGATATTGTTGTCAGGACCAGTCAGGTCAACTGGCAGCTCTGAGAGTGCAATTTGAGGCGAGTGTTGTGGAACACTTCAATCACGGAACACATTTATGACACGAAGCAGCCATGTGTTCAAGACATACGCCGCAGCTGATGGCTTGATATGATTTCTATGTTCACACCTCTGCTGATAATACGATTTCATTGTACGTGCATGTAGCGCGATTGACAGCACAAGGTCACCAGCATAAACGGAGCCTTTGTTTCAATGCATTGTCTGGGAGCCCAGTGGGTGGGGGACATGGATGTGAAGGATGCGGACGCTCGAAGAACTATCCATATTTTGCTGTTCAGCTAGGGAAGGTGGACAGCAGATGGGCGAAGAGAACCCGACAAAATGTTCTGGTGCAGCTTGGCAGGATCGACGCCCTGGTCAATGGGATTATTGCTGACGAGCCGCTGATTGATGCAGCGCTGCACTCGTCGGGAAGAGAAACAGATGACAATGAGCACCAGCCGTTGGATTCCGATCACAGCTTTGTTGCTGAGCCCAGGGATAATTCCTGGGCTGGATGGGAAGTTGGAGTGCAGGCTCTGGCCTCTGTCGTTGGTCTGCAGCTTCGCTTTGAGCTGAGGCATTGGGAAACTTTTGTGCGACGAAAACGCTTTGATGAGCTCCAGTGCAAGGTGGTGTTGACGTTGCAAAATGTCACCGTGCCTGCTGCAGTGGTGCATGAGGCTGCAATTGTAACTACAACACCGACGACACCCAAGTTTCTCAAGCTTGGGAAGGAATCCTTTGACCTTGATGCAGTTGAGCTTCATGCTGTAGCCTCGGCCAAGTTGGTCTCTACATCTCCACTTAGTTGGCCACACGCGACCAGACATCCGCGTGCCGAGCCAAAGACACAAGCGGAGGGCAGCCCAGTGTCCATCACCAGTGACGAGGCATTCGTCAAATCACTTTCTGATGACCAAGCACGGGTGGACGAGAAAATAAAGCTTTCAGCGCTGCTATGGCAATCAGGCAGTTTAGTGCATGTCCAGCCGATGGCATTATTGAAAGCATCACTTTTAGCTCGTGTTGCTGAACGCTGCCAAAAGCATGTCGTGCGCGAAGCCGTTCAATGGCTCTGGAAATTCTGCTCTTTGCAACGATCTGTTGAAGAACTCCTGGCGAGAGGTGAGTTCGTAAAGCGATCGGATGAGGTGGTCACCCAGCTACCAAGGGCCGAGATCCAGCAAGCGCAGCACCAACTCGCCGAAGGTCCATCTGACGAAGGATCCAAGGATATCAGCAGACCCAATGCTTCCGGACCGGGTGACGTCGCCAGATTCGAGGCACCCATCAGCGGCATTGCAAAGGAGCCAAAGCCGAACCCTGGGAAGTATCTTGGGGAAACAGACGCTGAAAAGGTGAATATGCCTGTCATAGTCACGCAGCCTTCCGCCAAACCCGGCCTGGCAACATTGCCCAACGAGAGCAACGCCACAGCATAGAGGCCGCTCAATGACAACAAGGATGCAGCAGTCCGAGCCCTGCAGGAAGATCACCTGCCTGAAGACGAGTCGGGCACCTCCAGAAAGGAGTCTGATATAAATGATGATGACCTGGCCGATCTTTTGGGCTGATGCCATCTATGGGGTCCTCCTTGGTTCACAGGTAAATGAGTCGGTGCACTGCGGAGAGCACAAAATCAACTAATGACTGCTGCGGTTTTGATCCTTCAGAAATTTGGAAGGCATGTCGCGGCACCTGATGTTTCACGGCGGTGAGTCAAAACAGCAAAGGTGCGCTCTTCGGCAATGGCCCGTTGCAAGCAGTGTTTGAGAAGAAGCGAGAAAGAGCATTTTTTAAATGCAGGCACGGGAGTCGCAGCTTCTGCAAGAAGTGGCTGAGCTTCGCGGGGCTTTGGCAACAGCTCGGATTGCCCAAGCAGCTGCAGAAGCAGCCCTGATGGAGCTTCGTGACTTGGACCACAGAGCCTGTAATTAGAGGACAAACCAAATCTGCGCAGCAGTTGTCACACTTGCACAGTCAGGCGAACGCCACAAAGTGACTGGCGACCCCCGCGAAGTGGAAGCCAGCAGTATTTGCAAAGAGCCAGCGGACGACAATTCCGATGAACTTTTGCGGCTGATTCCAGGCTCAAAGTATAACATGTGGCTTGTTTTCGGCTACAACATGTCCCAAATGAGACCTTTCAGATGTTGTGCGTCTCAGGAAGCAACAGGTCCATGCCTTGGAGCAGAACCTCCTCGATCGTGCTTTGGACCATGAACAGAAACTTGCTGAGCAGCGCTCAATGCTTGAAGCACAACTCGCTAGCCAGCAAAACCATTTCAGCAATGAGTGCGAAAAGTTATGGAGGGCAATTTCCCATGCCAACATGGTTGGGAGAGCTGCTCCTAGCGCACACTCTGCTGCAGCTTCAGGCGTTTCCCGTCCCCATGACCCGAGTGCCGCATCAGTCTTGCGGCAGATATATACTGCAGTTTCCGAGCTGCCGTGAACAAAGCCGAAAGAATAAAGCCGGCTCTGTATGGCAGATGCATTCGCAGGTGTGCGTGCCCTTGTCATATGCTACTGCTACCATATGCTGAAAACATTCATCCGGGGTTCAGGCCCAATGCCAGTTTCCTCATCATGCCAAGCCAGGAGTGCAGGCCGCGAAATCCAGAAATAGGTCATAGGGCATTGAGCGCAAGCGTGCAGGCTCAGGGCCGAGGCCGGTGGCCACATTCCAGCCCCAGGTCCCACAATCGGGCGTTGTACAGTACTTTTGTCGCATCTCGAATGAGTAGGCTTGACTGGTCAGGCCTCCCTGGCGCAGATGGCCGGGGCAGCAATGAGTTTGAGCACAAGCAGCGGCCCTGGTTGTCCCACTGGTGTTCGGGCATAAAAGGTCCCTTGCAGTCGACCAGCCATGAGCAGTCAAAAGTACTTTGTCGTGTTGCATCCAGTCATGTTGCAGGCATGTTGTTACTCGTGACATTAGGTGTGATTGGCACATTTTGTTACCGTGTGTCAGGCTCTCGTGTCACCCTGCCGGCTCGGAGGCGCCAAGTACACATGCAGCATATGCATGTTTGCCTTTTCCGCGGTCAAGCTGACCTCCCGACCATGTGCACGGTGTCACTTTTGCATGTGAATTGATGTTCAGGGTGCTTTCCCCTGCACCGGCTGCTTTCGCTGCTAGTAGTCGGTATCTCGGATTATCAGTTGCAGAGTTTGAACATGGCATCGCGTCCGTTTATGCTTCAGGATTGCAGGCCGTTTGGGCTCAATGCAAGACAGGTGAAAGAAGGGTGCGTTTCATTGCGAATGCCTTTCAGGAGCACGTGTCCACGGCCACGGCTGTCCGAGCAATTCTCCCCACGCTCCAAACTTCGCACCTTGTGGAATGGTCGTCGAAGTCTTCATGCCGATTATCTAAAGCTTAAACCAGTCCTGGCAAACATATTCTTAGATAATCAGTTCGCTTTTTTGGTTCCAAGCGTGTGAAGAAAGTTGTGTAGTGAGCCGTGGTGTGTCAGCCTGAGGCCTCAGATATTGCGCTCACGATTGTGTTCCTTTTCTTTGAGATTTTGGCCTGGCTTGTGGAAAACGTGATGGGAAGTTTGGCGGCCTGGCACTGGTACCACAGATTCGTCAGTCGCCTGCTCTTCAAATTTTATTTCCGCGAGACTTCGGTGTCAGACCCGCACGACGTCCTCAAAGTGCACAGTGATCGTTTAATCTTCTGCTCCAATCATCCGACTGGCCTCTTTGACAGGCTTTTAATCCAGCACCTTTCGCCACGCCCTTGCTTTTGTTTGTCGCAAAACTGGTTTGCGCACCTCCCCTGCAAGTCTGGAAAACATGATGCTTCTAATTCGACATCACCAGGTCAGCAGGGGGGCTGACTAGAGCCAAAGGAGCATCAATAATGGGTAAGTGGGCATCTCGTGAAAGTTGTCTCTCTAACTATGGTTCAGCATGGTGCTCTAGGCCAGTTGCACGTGCGGCACTTGCAGGGAAATGTCCAATATGCAGTCTTGGCTTGCGAGCATAATGCGTGAGAGACGCCGTGCTTCCGTTGTGCCTTAGGTACACTAACCATGTCGAGATGTGCTTGCACGTAGTGAAGGGTGGTACGTTCGAAGAGATAGTCGAGTGCCTGGACGCTGGCAATGCTATTTGGATTGCAGTGGGTGGGGCACGAGAAATAAACCCGTATATTCGGAAGATCCACACAGGAGCTGCGCGCATAGGTTTGCAGGCAGCTTTGGGAGGCTATGAAGTTCTGTTGGTCCCTGTCCATATGGCGTTCGAGGCACATTGTCAGCTCAGCACCGCTGTCCTAGTAGAGTTTGGGAAGCCAATTCGCATTTCTAGCGGGTTGGATCCAAACTCCACAAGCGGCCGCGAACAAGTACGTCATTTGACTTGTTGCTTGCAAGAGCAGCTGCTCCCATTGACGAACTGGATGCCTGCAAGTCAGGGTGTGGACTGTGGCAAGAAGGGGTCTAGGGGTCCTGGTCAGACACGCTTGGCCGTTTCTGAGTGGTATCGACTTCGAATGATTGATACTTTCATTTGCATTCACGCCTTGTCGAGTGGCCAGGGTATGCTTTCTTGGCCAGAACGCGTACGGCGAGTGCGACTGGCGGCTCAACATTTAAGTCAGCCAGGCAATGATTTCCAAAAAGCAATGGATGCCTTCAACAGCTTTGCTGCTCTTCTAAAAGAAGGCACCCTGTTCCGATCTGCCACTGGGACCTACTGGGACATGCCTGTGGCACTCAAAGCAATTCCGCGCAAGAATCCGGTCGAGGTACCAGGCAACTTGACACTGGCGGCCTTAAGGAATTTTTCTGACGGCCCTTTTCGCTTTGCCCAAGGTAGCTTGTCAGATGTGCATGGCTTGCCGACGTTTCTGCAAGACCGTTTCCGGCACCTATCAGAGGAGGCCGTGAAGTTCATTCATTTGCATTCGCTGGACTGCATGTGGCAGCTGCATGTCACTACCGACCCTAACGAGTGCAAAGTCCGACTGCACTCGCAAGTGCTTTGCTGAAAGCCAGCCTGTTGATGTTTGCAAGCACATGAATCACATGCTCAGGTCCGCAGCATAGTCCACGAGACGGAGCATGCTGGCAAGCTGCGCCGGCATCGGTGGCTGCAGCAGCTGCGAGCATGGGCCTTGATGGAGAACTCGCGAGCTGCAATTGTTGTCAATGTTATGTGCCAGGTGCTTTCTCCTCCCATGTACAGGTGAAACTGAGCACACAAGGTTGGGGCCTCGAGATGCTTTACGTGTGTCTGGCCTGGTAGTGATTGGCAGTGACTGGTGGTGACTGGTAGTAAGGTGTTGCCACAAGCCGTGCAACGCTTGGGGCTTTCTCGACTCGATCTGTGTCCCCACCGCAGCGATCGCTGCGGGCGGCCTGGTCCATGACACTTCCACCGGGGCCCGTGGTCGCGGTTCGGGGTCTGTCTCCTGAGCCAACAGCTGCGGCTGCTGCGGCTGTGCCGCTACCTGTGGCTCAGCTGTCGTATAACTTCTTGGTACAGCCATGGTGAGCGTGCATGCATTCTTCCTGAATCCAAGACACCGCGTGTGGGACAAGCTCCCCTGCAGCCTTCGTTGACAGCACCAGGGAGGCTAGGGCAAGATTTGGACTTTCGATGATGTCGTTTTAGAGAAGCCAGGCCGCCTGCCTCAGTTGGGATCGCGTTTCCCAGAGCAGTTATGGGAAGTCCGCAAAGGCCTGAAAAGTTTGGAAATGCATGGAAGATCTCGGAGCTTTGACATGCAGCAGATGCTGAGCGCTGTTTTTTTGGGCTCGTGACAAGGGGACTTCTGCAGTCAGTGGCAAGGTTGGCTCTGGCATGCCGGAGTGACTATACTGTACTATCGAAGGCCGATGATCATTTTCAATGAATCACTGTCATATATTGAGGCTGAGATGAAGGGTTCAAAGCCAGGGCTAGGAAAGAAGTGTAGATTGCATTTGTTTGACTCGAAAAGTAGAATTTGAGAGAGCGGCCTTTTTGGCCACATTCCGCAATCCAGAAAGAAAGACTTGACTCGAAAGCTTCTTTAACGAATATTCAGGAACGCTTCTTCAACGTTAAGCCCTCCTTTTGAAGTGAACAGGAAGCTCCCATCATATGCTATACATCTGTAGCGTGCGCGGCCATGAAGACCAAAGGCGTTTGCGGGCGCGTTGCGCTTTTTTGGTTTTTGTCGTGGGGGGCATCGTTCGCAAGGATCCGCAGGAGGAAGGTGCCGCCTCAGCGTCTCAGGAACTCGCAGCCCACACAGTCTTCTTTCAGTGTGGACCGTCCTCTCCTCCCATGGGACGCGGCTGTGGCAGTCACTGCAGATGAGGCCGTAGACCTGGATGCAAGCAACCTCACCATGCAGGCTTCAACGGATGCATGGACGTCTGCAGCGAATGAGGCAGCAGCTCAGCAAACAATGTTGGGGCCGGCTGTGCCCCTGCCTTCGTCTTGTGAAGCGGTCAGCGATGTTCTAGAGCAAGGTGTTGCAATAGTGAAAGGCGCACTTTCACCAAAGCTATGCCAGCGCTTGCGCAACTTTGTCTTGGAGGAGCTGCCAGCAGCCCGTCGCGCGGTAGAAGCTGAGCCATCACGGAAGTATTTGTTATTTTCTCGGGATATCCGCGAAACGCGGTCATCAAGGGCCGCATCAGATACGCGTTTTGAACTACAGCTTCCTCGCACGGCGATTACTGAATCAGCCCTGTTGGAAGCATTGCGTGGTCCGGTGGGAGATACCTTGGAAACTTTAGCAGGTGACGCAAGTGCTAGCCTCTGGGAGTTCACGGCTATGGCTTCTTGCTCTGATGGGCGCAGTGTTGCTGGATTAGTGTGTTTTGTGCACGATCTTGTGATGGGAATGAGCACTTCGCATTGCACTGAGGTTGCTATGCCAGGTGCGATTGCTCAGCGCTTGCACTGCGATACTGGTTCGCCTTTGCCAGCGTTGTTTACTGCATTCGTGGCATTGCAGGATGTAGACGAGAACATGGGTCCGACGCGCTTCCTTCTGCGATCAAATAGTGAGACTTCCCATCAGTACTTTTCCGCAGACAAGACTTCTTTCCTCAACAAAGCAGTTTCACGCATTGCCTTGTTACGCACGGGTGATGCAGTTGTGTATGATGGCCGAGTTTTGCACTCTGGAACAGATAATTATTCTGATAAACCTCGAGTGCTGCTAGTTCTCACCGTCCGGCACATAAGAGATTCATCTGTGGACCAAGCAACTCAGAGGACCCAGAGAGCCTATGCTCGAACGAAGGTGTTGGCCGATTTTAGAAAAGCTGGCGCACTCTTGCAAGAGCAAAGTTACCTTTAGCCAGTTTTAGGCAAAAGAAGCCGAAGCATTGTTGAGGCATCGAGTTGTGTCCTTGAGCCCGCCACGAGTACCACCAGCACAGCCTCGGCAAGTGGAAGTGAGGCTTTTGCAAACTCTGATTGCGGTTTTTTGCAGTTGTTGTCGTGAAAAGTGCATTCCTGCCTCAGGTCCGCAGCAGTTTCTCCGCGGCAAGTTGAAGTGATGAGGGTGGCGCTGAGACCGCAGCCCGGCTGTCCAGCTGTGTTTGCGCATACAATTTCTGGTGGAAGAGAGGAGACACATTTGGAGAGACCAGGCCGCAGCCCTGAGAGCCATGTCAAGACTTTAGAGTCGAGCCGTCGCAGTCCCTTTCGGGCCTCTGCCACTTCAGAGGGCCTGCATCGACAGAGTGGGCAAATGCACGAGACATCTCAGAAGCAAAGCCGGGGTCCAGCCAGCGCGTTGGAGACTTCGATGAAACGCATAGATAGGTCCAACCAAAGCCCCATTCGAGTGGTTGGTGGGCCGGCTCTGGAGGGAACAATCCACAGGCAGGCCGCGCCTCTGCCTGCAGCATCATCCAAAGACGACTTTTTCCCGGAGTCTGCTCACGCTAACGTGTTTCCGGCCACGCAACCTGTTGCTTCTTCACGTGATGCTCCAAGATGCGCTGATGGGAGAGCAGTCATACAGTCTCCTGGCAACAGCCCGCGAGGTCTTCCAGCTGCAAACGGGTCTTGCAAGCTGATCGGGCAGGGAGTGACGTGTCCAGACCCACTACTGACCACTGGGCCACAGGCATCTCCTTTGTCACCGATGGCAAGGACCCCAAGCCCACGTGATAGAAAGAACGCTTGGATGTCAGGCCTGGACTCACGGCAAAGTTTGACATCCTCTTTCCTAGGGCTTGAAAGCAACTCTCCCCCGCAATACGTTTCTGCAAAGCTCCTCCACTCTTCCTCCAGTAAGCGGCGCACCCTTTCGCCCGGAGCATCGTGCGTAGTGTTGCCACCCAGTCCTGAGAGTGTCCCTCGGATCTCAGAGGTGCTTCCTTCACAAGAGACCCAAGACACCCCAGAAGCTTGGCACGTCCAGTCGACGCTATTTGAGATATTTTGCTCACCCGTCTCCACGCCATTTGTGGCCGAGCAAGTTGCCAAGGGGCTCCTGAGCAGATCAGGGGAGGCCCTGTGGGACGAGCTGGTGCTCCTGCGTCCGGTGCAATACCTCGCATGCGCTGTGGTCCGTTTGCTTTCTGGACAGCCTGGGCAGCCCGTGAAGGATGAAGGCTTATGGCGGGAGCATCTTGGTGATGAAGAAACTTATCGAGACTGGTGGAGAGCGCTTTTGGCTCGGTATGGCTTGTATGGTTCAGGAGACTCGCTAGCGAGTGGGGAGGCTACAGAGTTGATGATTGCAGCATGCCGGGTGCTTCGCGATCACTTTGCCAAACCAACGTATTTGCGGAACCTCCGAACAGTCCGCTTTGGAGCGCAGCGACTGCATGATCGTCCCTATGTCCAATCTCATCAGGATTTTGTACTTGGGGAACAGTGGTAAATGAATGGCGTTTCTTCGTGTAGCCTTTTCGGCATAAGGTTATGATGGTTTCCGATACGTCTCCAGTTCGACCTTCACGCGAGTGTATCGCTGCCGCAGTCGCAGCTGAACTGAAAAGGAACTGATAACAGCTCTGGGATTTTTGTGGTTCAGCAGTTCGGTTGTAGTTCCGCCAGGCGAGATATTGTGTAGACTTGTTCAGGCTTGAGCTTCGAGGATCGCGTGTGCAGCCAGACTCGGAAAGATCTTCTCGTGTGCCCAGCCGTCTCTGTGCTCAAGTTCAGCCAAAGCCTTGTGCTCTAGCGGCTGCTTTTCGTGGGTTGCCTGAGTGACCCTAGGATTCCTTTCTTGACTGTTAATTGGTCAGGACAGAGGGTTCCATGATTTTGCTTTGTTGGACTCAGCAATCCATCTGCACGAAGCTAGGAATGCAGAGGGAATGTGTGACGCGTTTAGAAATTTTCCGGGCATTCCGAGTGCCAGGAGCTGCAGGTGGAAATGATTTAGTGTACTATTCGGTGTGCAGGCAAGGCGTCTGCCTCTCATTTCTTGTGTGCGGCCCAATGGACTCCCACAGTCTTGATTGATGGAACGCCCAGCAGTTCTTTCGTAAGAATGAACCCAGCCTCAGCTATAGGCTCGCATCCCCGACTCTAAGCCTTGCACTTGTAACTTGTAACTGAATGACTGCGTGTGTTTCATGGCCATGTTTGAATGTAAGGACCAGGTCCGAGTGGAAGCAGAAACCTTGAGAAGCTTACAGCATCCACACCTCCCACGTGTTGTTGAGAGCTTCGAGGCTGCTTCAGAAACATCAGACACGTGTGGTTTGGGGCATGGACTGCACCAAGCAGGTCCCCATAGGATGTGCCTCGGTCTCGGCAGGATTTCAATCACATCTACATCATCTTTGAAATCGTGGACAACGTACGGCTGCTGAGGTTTATGTCTATTCGCCTTGACACCCGGGCTGGGGTCAGTGAGGGCTGGCTGGCACAGGCCACCCTCGGGTCAGCCAGAGGTTTGTCTCTCGAGACCAGTCAAAGATAGATGTTTGTACGAGTCCCTTAATTCCTGTGAACAGTGCTTGCGAGTGTATTGCCCGTGTATTGATGAATCACGCTGTGGCAGGTGTTCAAGCAGCTCTTGGAGACCCTGGGGTACTGCCACCAGTTGAAGCCGCACAGCATCGTGCATGGTGACATTGGCTTGGACAGCGTGGGTTTAGCATCAATATCGGATGCCGCCAGCTCACCTCACGTGCCTAATCTTCAACGTGAGCAAATAGTCTCCATTGAGTCGGTTTGCACGATCTGCTTTCCGGTTAAAAGCTAGGTCGTCATCTCAGACCTGAACGTCGCCGGTTCGCTGCCGCCACTGGGAATTTCAGGTGCTGAAATGGCACGGACCCATCAAGATACCCGGTCTTGGGAGGAGCACTGCAGCCCGAAGCACGACTGCAATAAACGGAGAGGCACGTGTTCTGTTGTTGGCTTTGCCTCAATATCAGGAGTTTCTTGTAGAAACCTGCTGCTATAAATTACGTGTTGGCGATCTCAGAATGGGAACTATTCTTTGCTGGGCATTTAAGAGGGAGTAGCGATGAAAGGAAGCACGATGTCTGGTGCTGCGGCTGCCTGCTTTACCTTCTCCTCACGGGGCATGTGCCTGGCGATGCTTTCTTCGGTGGAAGGGAGGCATTCCGGTCAAAGGGAGCCACGCCAGACTGGACGCTCGTCCGCCATGCATCAGCGCAAGCCGAAGCGTTGTGCTCCCGCATGTTGGAAAGAAGCTTGGAGTGCAACATTTACATGAAGTAGGGTTTATTAAATTTAGTATACCTTTCAGTCAGTGTGTATAGTCTGTGTCCAAATTGGGGATGATACGTTGAAATCCTACCATGCGCGTGTTCAGATGTTTTCCTTCTGAGCCGGGTTGTTGGGCACAAAAGCAGCAAGGCAATCTGGCCCTACGCCCAACCGCAGCAGACTGCCTGTGCTACCCATGGCTACAATCCGGCAGCAAGTTCTGCTTCAAGATGATCCCGATGCAAGTCTTGGAGAAATTGGCAAAGCTAGAGAATCAGATCCAAGACTGCAAGGACTGCTGGGATCTAGTGTTTCTCCTGCAAGTATTGGTTTCAAAGAATCGTAAACTCAGCACCCTTCTGAAAGGAGGTTGTTGGTGAGGTTGTAGGTGAGCTGAGCTCGAAATCCATTTCCTGCGCAAGCTCTACCTTTGCAAGACTGGCTGTGCCCTCGGATTTCCTCGCACCTTGGCGTTGCAAGGCGCAATTTTTGTGCCGACGCTTTTCGTGTCCTTGGGTTACTGAAGAAGCAACACATGAGGCATCACCACTGGAGACCCTGCAGTTGAAGCTTGGCTTCATGTTTGTCAAACAGAACTGGATCAGGCGAATGAATTCCCGTGGCCCTAATGCTCCCCTGCAAAGTCCACACTGGCACCCAGTCCGGTCTTAACTTACTAGTCGGGTCTGGGCAGGATGTGCGTAGGAGATTGCGCGGAATTGAGGGCAAGAGCAATTGATGTTGCAAGAGATCGCACGAGATCGCAAGGTGCCGATCATTCTTACTGCGGACATGTCTCAGGGAAAGTGGCACACCTTGTTTGAGTTCATTTTATCAGCATGGAAACATGCGCAAGCATGGACATGATTGCGGGAGAGTTTCTTGTGTTTGCTTCCCTGAGATGCGCCCGCAGAAGCATGCGGAACGTTCTATGGAAGCATGTCGTCCTTTGTGTAAGGTCTTTCAGGCCAAGCTTGTAGCAAGACTCAACTTGAAAGTGCCAAAGGTCTTCACGAAAGCTCCGCAAAGACCACAGGCAAACACCTTTTAGTTTCCTCAGGAAGGAAGGAAGAAGGCTTCTTTTGATCTGGGTAGTTTGCATCTAGTGGAGTGCCATGGGCCGTGTTCGGTCTCGCTGATATTGCTGAAGCCGAACTTCCGTTCCCGATCCTCTCCCACTTTCCTGCAAAGTCGAATTCGGAATCATGTGACGAAACAGTGATTTTCCGAGGAAGCCCCTCTTGTCCGCCGCTCCGCTTCTGCAGCTGGGTATATCTGTGCGCTGTGCTGCAGTGATTGCAGTGATTGGAGGGCTTTGAAGTACGTTGTTGGGAGAGAGCACGTTTGGAGGTACCCCGAGTTGAGAAAGTCATGCCACGGCCTTGAAGTCAGCTTTGCTTTTGTGCCATGGGTTTTTCCTGCTTGGAAGGAAGGCCTTCGCTGACAACGCGAGTGGTTTGATTGCCCACGGCTGCTTTGTGAGATGCGGCTCAGCTTCATTTGGAAGATGTGGATGAGCGAAATTGCAAGTTCGACCGGCATGCTAAGGCTGCTTAGACAGGGCTGAAGACCAGCTGGCTGGACACTTACCTTACATTTGCAGAAGCGCTCTGTTTCACAGTCCTCAAGGATCGTTCGTTGTGGCGCCTCTTTGTCGAAGCCAGGGAGGTCGGTTTCAAGACACTTCGTGCTTAGCTCAAGGACCGCGAGCTAGCTAAGCGAAAGGATGAGCGTGGAGTCCTGACAGCTGCCGAACTGGAACAGGCTGGAGCAGTCTAATGGTGGTCCTTGAGCTTTGTTTTGTTGTCGACGCAGTCTTAGTCCAAGGCTGAAACGGACAATGGGGACCTGATCAGTGTACTACACTTGACACCCCCAAACTAAAAAGGGGGCCCTTTTGGTGTACGCCTTTCGGTGTACGCAGGGGACTCCCCAAGCAAATTTGGCGTTGTTTTAGATATAGCAGGAAGGTTAAACTCAGGATCTTTTTTTTTCATTCAATAGGAGGAGAATAGGAGGAGGGTTGCGGAGCTCAGAATCGGTTGTAAATTGACTTCAGTAGGAGGGGCGCTGTGGAGCTCAGTAGCTTTTCTAAATGTAATCAGCTTAAAGGAACAGCCTTTGCTTCTTGGGATCTCCAGGGGGCCCGAAAATTTGGAATAATTGAGGCCCCACAGAAAAATTGTAGTATTGAGGCCCCTAGCAGCTGCTGCATTGTGCCCTTGCAAGATGATTGCCTGGCCTGCTCGAATAAGCGGTTTAATAAGAAATCGATTGTCTTGGAACTGCCGCCAATCCTGATCTAACATTTTAGTTTGAGCAGCTTGGATTCGGACCTTAATTTCTTAGGTTAGGTGAATCCGAATTACCCATCGTTTTCTAAAGCAATTTAGTTTTGATTAAGTATTCTCGGACAGTTTTTCAGGGCACGCAACTTCGCACAATTAAGGCTCCCCAAACGAACCACAATCGCCGACAGTTGGGAGCAGAGGGGATTTAGGCCACCCTTCGCTACGGCAAGGGGCTTGCCCCCCTTCAGGTCGAGGGGTGGTGCCTTCAGTTTCAGGCACTGCCCCACACGCCAAGGGGATAATGATTGAGATTCTGCAGCCTCAAGGGAATAAGCTGAACCTTGCTTTTGCCCTTAGTCTCGCTGCCGGTGCGTGTGTGCGTGTGTGCGTGTGTGTTTGGTACGACCACCCATGCCCCATCTCTGAGACGGTGCCCCCAGCTTTGTACCCTCGTAAGAGATCACAAGGGGAAGAGCTTGTC